TCAGAACCAGATTAATCCCTTTCGCCCCCACACCCACCTAAAGATCCTCAGGGATCATTCCTGTCTAAATCAGAACCAGATTAATCCCTTTCGTGTTCCACACTCACAACTGTGACACCCACACATTAATAAAATGGAATCTGTATTTGTAGCGTGAATTAAGGACTGAATGCTTGCTTTGAACTCTTTTCCTGAATCCTTCCCCATTCCCGCCCAGATCTGCTAAACCGATCAAGGTAGAGAAAGCCATAATAGGATTAATAAGGTGGGGAGCGAAACATCCAATCAGGCATCAGGGTGGGGCTGAAACATCCATCCAATCAGGCATCAGGGTGGGGGCTGAAACATCCAATCAGGCATCAGGGTGTGATGGGAGGGAGGAGCTGAAAAGAGGGAGTTGAGGTTCACAGGGGGGATAAAAGCTGGAGGGGCCAAGGAGGGGAACTTACTCCTGGAGCCTCCAGTCCCCACCTGGCCCTTCTGGGATCTCGGAGTGCCCTGCCTGCGCCTGCCTCTGCATCTGGTAAGCCCCTGCCCTCCCTGAGGTCCCTGCCTGCAGCCCTCACCAGGGTTCCCTGGGGTCAGGGGTCTAGGAGCACAGAGGGTTTCATGATTTCTCTCTCTTCACATGATCAGGTTGGGGTGTTTATAGTTTTTGCTTTGCTTTGGTTTTTTTTTAGTTTATTTTTATTTTTATTTTTTGGAGATAGAGTCTCACTATGTAGTCCAGGCTGGCCTTGAACTCACTATATATCCCAGGCTGGTCTCAAACTCTTAGGGATCCTCCTGCCTCAGCCTCTGGAGTGCTAGGAATACAGGCGTGTGCTACCATATCCCACTTGCTTTGTTTTTTGAGACAGGGTCTCGACATTTAGTTCAGGCTGGCCTTGAACTCACTATAGAGCCTGGGCTGGCCTGGAATTTGTATCACTCCTCCAGCCTCAGCCTCTCAAGTGCCGAGATTACAGGAGTGGGTCAGCAAGCCCAGCTAGGGACAATATTTGAAAAGCGGAGATTTTATTTCCATTGCAGAGTTAGCGTTTTTCTTAATTCCCCCATGTTCCATAAAAATGTTACACAGCTTTTATAAACTTTCCTAAAGGAAAACCACAGCACCTGTTTTACAGGGTCTCCCTAAGCTCTCTACGCCAGGCTCAAGTTAGGCCAGAGATGGAAAGGCAGCTGGGTGGGAGGCATTTCCAGAGCTATTATTCTGGCGCCTCAGAGCAATGATCAGAAACCTTTCCCATAGAGTGGGGTGGGGCGGGGCTTCAACAACCCTCAGAACCCACTTCCCAGCAGGCCTGGACCCCAGAGGGTTGGGGCTTGGAAGTGGGTGGGAGCTTGAAGTCCTGCTCCCCACAGGGCCAGGGCATGGCTTTGTGGCCACCTAGGTCAGGGAGAAATCCAGAATGAACTGAGATGTCACCCACCATAGCAGACCAGGGGCTTTGGCCCTGAGCTGATCTGGATGGGTCAGAAGGGGTCTCTTGAGCTGGGTCTCAACACATGCCTCTTCCTGGCCATCCCCAGGACCCTTCTTGCAGATCTGACAGGATGGAGACACAGAGAGCCCCGACAGTGGAGGAACTGCTCGGGCAGAGGCTTCTACGGAACGTAGCCCCCAACATGCTGGATGACCTGCCTCTCCTGATCTCCCCGGAACTGTTCAAGGAGGCCTTCACTGGGGGACATGTTGAGGTCCTGAAGGCCATGGTGCAGGCCTGGCCTTTCCCCTGCCTCCCTCTGGGGGCCCTGATGAAGATGAGGAGACTGGAGACCTCCCACACTGAGCTGGGAGAAGAAAACCTGCAGCCCTTCAAGGCCGTGCTGGCTGGGCTGGATGCACTGCTGGCCCTGAAGGATCCCTCCAGGTGAGGGGACCCAGGGATCCTGGAGGGGGGTGCTGGGGGGCTCGGGAAGGGCCATGGGGGTCGGGAGGGTGGGCGCTGCAGGTTGGGGCAGCCGCTGAGGCTGTGAGCCAGGAGGATCACAGAGGCCTTGGCTGATGCTGAGGAAGGAAAAAGTAGGGGAGCAGCTGATGTCTAAAAAGGGAGAGAGCAGCACAGGTTGGAAGTTGGGTCTCTGCCTCCATTCTCAGACTGCTTCCTGTTTCACCCACCGCAGGTGGCAACTGAAAGTGCTAGACCTTCGAGATGTGCACGGGGACTTCTGGTCCAGAGGCCCCGGAGCAGTTACCGACACCCTCGAGGCAGAAGCCGGGGAGAAGAAAGCAGGCGAGGCAGAGCCAGGCATGGAGGCGCAGCCGGCCTTGAGAGTACTGGCGCATCTCTGCCTCGAGGCTCCCGGTGCATCCGGGGTTCAGGGGGACGGATCCCAGGGCTGCCTCTTGGAGTGGGCCGGGAAGAGGACAGCCGCCGTCCACTTGTGCTGTGAGAAGGTGACGATCGAGTCCAGCAACGCCCGCACTGTCCTGAGGCTGCTGTGCGCGGTGCAGCTGGACTCCGTCCGCGAGCTGGTGGTGCACAGCAGCTGGAATCGGGACGGCACGAGAGAGTTTTTCCGCGAGCTCACGAAGATGACCAACCTGCAAACGTTTCACTTCAGTAGCCTGAGTCCACGCCGGTTCCCTTCCCACTCGAAAAACAAGCGGTACTCGCGCCTGTACGCGACGCACCTGGCACAGCTGCAGGGGCTGCGCGAGTTCCACGTGGACGACGTCTTCTTCCTGCGCGGACGTCTGCACAAGATCCTCAGGTGAGTGGCTGGCCCTGCCCTACCTGCGTGCCAGGAATCTTAGAGGGCGTCTGCTGCGGGCGGCTGTGGTGCCGAGGGGGTGACGCGTGGGGCCCAAAGCGAGGCAGGCGTAACCACCACGCGAAGGGAAGGCCAGTCTGGGAAGGGCCGTGCAGAGGAGGTCACTCTGCTCTCCTCTCTCCAGGAGCGCCACCCCGCTGGAGTCCCTCTCCTTGAGCTCCAGCCCGCTGAGGGAAGGGGACTTGCTGCATCTGACCTTTAACCCCACCATGAGCCAGCTAAAGCACCTGCTCCTGAGGAAGTTCTCCATGAAACTCTTCAGCCGTGAAGTCCTCCCACTGCTGCTCGAACAAGCGGCCGGCACCCTGGAGACCCTGGCCCTGGAGCACTGTGAGCTCACCAACGCCAAGCTCCTCGCCATCCTGCCCGCCCTCAGCCTCTGCTCCCGGCTCCAGACTTTCAGTTGCTATGGCAACCACATCTCCCTAGGCGTCCTGCAGAAGCTGCTGCGAGTGACCCTGGGGCTCAGCCAAATCACCCAGGGCCTGTACCCCGCCCCTCGGGAGAGCTATGAGGCCAAGTGTGTGAGCCAGTTTGTGTGCCCTGAGCAGTTTCCCTGGGTCCGTGAGAGACTGACGCCGCTACTCAAGGACATCAGGCCATCCCTGAGGGTCCGCATCTGTACCTACTCCTGTGATTCCTGCACCATGTGCCAGTTCTACAGCCTGGAGCCCACGGGAAGCTGGGAAATCACACAGGAGTGTCGCTATGGAACTCGCCTTCAGTGTCAGAACTGTGTCCACCCCGAGTTGGGTACCTGTAACCAAAGTTAGTCTCGCGTGGATGATTGTCAAGACGTGGGCCACACGAAGGGAAGCTTTGGGGAAAGTGCTTTTCCTTTGTTATTTTAATGTAATACAAATAAATATCGATGAAGAAAATATTAAAAATCCCTCTTCTTATTTCTATGAAAAATAAAACTTTATAACAAAATAATCAGAGAATAGCAATAGTACACTGTACTGTAATCTTAGAAGAATGGCCAAAATGTTACTCAGAGGACAAGTCACAGATTAAAAAAAAGTCTTACAAAGAATTAACTGATAAAGGCAGAAAACTCTCTTCAAAGAACAGAGAAACTAGTACTATAAATGAAACATTAACATATGTGTTCAAACATTTTTGAAACAACAGGGTAGATAATTGGAATTATTTGGACTTCTCTCTGCTTCCTATTTTGTTTTTTGCTCTATGTACATATATAATTTATATATATTGAATTTTAGATATATTTTATCTTATTAGACACCATGTGACATTTAAGATTGTGTGCCTTATTTAACATTAGGTTCTCATTTCTGTGCTTCATGAACAAAGACTCAATTTCCCAGTTTATGTATTTATTTATTCACATATTTTTTCATTTCTTTATATTAATGTACGTTTGCCATATGTAACAACTGCATTCATTTTGGCTAGGGGAGCATTTTCCCTGTGGCACAGGGAATTGAACTCGGGACCTTCACACTGCACTACATCCCCAGCTCTTTTTATATCTTTTTTTTTTTTTTGGTACCAGTGATTGAACTCAGGATCTTGTGCTTGTGAGGCAGGTGCGGTGCCACTGAGCTAAATCCCTAGCCCTATATCTTATTTTTATTTTTATTTTTTAAATTTTCATTTTTATCAGTACATGTTTGCACAACATAATGATCACATTCATCATGAGGAACTGTTGCATGTACAGAACACATCTTAATTCATTTGAGGCCCCATTCCCTTCTCCTCCCATGTTTTGGTCCTCTTCCATTTGCACAAGTTTATTTCTTTTAATTTTGAGACAGTCTCACTAAGGAGCTAAGTTGCCCCAGGTGTGCTCAAATTTACCATCCTCCTGCCTCAGCCTCAGAGTGGGGATTACAGCCGTGTACCAACATGTCCACTGGTTTTCAAGTTTTGTCCTCAGGATTTTCCGTTGTGTGGAGGAAAAACAGGCATTGGGTTGTTTGTAGTCTAGGGGATCAACCACAGGATCTTGTGGCATCAAAACATGGTGGCACCCTTCTCTCAGGACCTCTGTGACCTCCATGCTTACTTCTTTTGTTTGTTTTTTTTGTTTTGTTTTTGAGACAGGGTCTTGCTATATAGTCCAGGCTGGCCTTGAACTCACTGTGTAGCCCAGGCTGGTTTTGAACTCCCAGCAATCCTCCTGTCTCAGCCTCTAGAGTACTGGGATTATAGGGGTGTACCACCACGCCTGGCTATCACTTTTAAAAATTTGTTCTAGGCCCAGGGATTTAGCTCAGTGATTCTACCACCTGCCTCGAAGCCGCAAGGACCTGAGTTTGATCCCCAGTACCAAAAAAAAAAAAATTGTTCTACAGATCAATGGGTTTCATTCTAACAGATTCCTACATGCATATAACATACTTAATCATTTTCACCCCCTTCACCCCCTTGCCCTGCATCCCCTTAGTTTCACATTTTGGAGGTTTTGATGTGTGTGATATTTATTTTACTCATATATATCCCCCATTACCTGCCATCCCACACTTCTCCCCTTATTCCCTTCCTCTCATCTAATAGTAGCCCTCCTTTTATTTTCTCATCATCTTTTTTAGATTCCACACATCAGGGAGAACACAATGCTGCTCCTTGGAGTGCACCCCGAGGACCCAAAGCCTCTGCCCCTCAATCCTCCTGGATCAGAACCCACTGCATTTTTTTCTTTCACAGTACTGGGAATGGAACCCAGGGGCTTCACACTGAGCTACATCACCAATCCTTTTTCTTTTGAGACAGAGTCTCATTAAATTGCTAAATGGCCCAGGCTGAACTTGAACTTGTGATCCTCCTGTTTCAGCCTCCCAGAGTGCTGTGATTACAGGGGTGCACTGCCACACCTGGCTCACAACCCACACTTTAAGCTGCCCGGTGACTTGCTGAGACCACTGTTTTAGGGACTGGTGAAGACTGACAGAGATGCTGAGTATTACACATAATGAAGATAACAGAATCTGCCATAGGACAGGCCTCCTGATGTATTTTTTGAATGCATGAGTAAGCCGTAGGTTTAGATGAGCTCATTCCCACTTTACACCAGAGGAAACCAAAGTTCAGAGGCCCATCCCATCTGCTCATCAAATAAGTAAAATGCCATGGTGCCAGGCATCGCTGGGCAAAAACAGAGATGGTGAAGCTGACAATGATGACTGAAAATGTAGGAGAGAACAAGCACTGAGGGAAACAGGAATGGGAGAAGAACAGGGAGGGAGAAGACAAGATCAACTAACTGGGAAAGGCTCCCAAGAGAGCTCTGGAGGGGCATTCTGTACAAGGACTGTAATCCCAGCACTCTGCAAGGCTGAGGCAGGGAGGTTACAAATTCAAGCCCAGCCGGGGCAATTTACTTATCTAATGAGACTCAGCCTCAGAGTAAAAAGCAAACCAAGGGCCAGGGATTTAGCTCAGTGGTTCCACTGCCTGCCTTGAAAGTGCAAGGTCCTGAGTTTGATCCCCGGTACCAAAAAAAAAAAAAAAACAGAAACAAAAAGGGCAGGAGATGTAGCTCAGTGCAAAGGCCCTGAGTTCAACCCCCACCACTGAAATGAAAAAAAAATCTGACAGGGTAAGGAAAGTTGAAAGATTTGGGAATAAGCAAAAGAGATTACTGGCTTTGCTTTCAGTGACAAGCTAGAGCCCTGGGATTATCTAGTTCTTGCGTGGATTAAAGGCTCTTCTTTGTCCTTAGGCTATTTTACAACTCTGTACAGAGTGGATAAAAGATAGCAGTGCAAGGGATCCTTATCTACATACCTGAAAATAAATTCTGTCCCATGCAGGGCTGCCTCCCACTCCTGCAGAAAATCCACGTTTACACTCATTTGGAAATACATTTCAACATTGCTTTACTCCAGATAAACATGTAGTTCTTTGTCTTTTTAAAAAACAAATTGTGGCATCTGCCTGATTCCCTTATTAATTAATGAGCTAGGTCTGGTGTAGTGTTGTATGCTTATAATCCCAGCACTTGGGAGGCTGAGGCAGAAGGATTGCTGAGAGTTCAAGGCCAGTCTGAACTACATCGTGAGATGCTGTCTCAAACAAACAAACAAACAAACAAACATTAATGAGTTAAATGTAATCTTTGACATATATTCATTTTATGTCAGGATGAGAGTCAATGTTAACTTTCTTCTCTTCCTTTCTTTCTCTCTCTCCTTCCCTCCCTCCCTCCTTCAGTATTAGGGATTGAATCCAGGGCCTCCAAACTGAGCTACATCCCTGGCCCCTTTTTTATTTTTTATTTTGAGACAGAGTCTTGCTAAATCACTACCGTTGCCCAGGCTGGGCTTCAACTTGTGATCGTCCTGCCTTGGTGGTGAGTTTGAGGCCAGCCTGAACTACAAAGGCCAACCCTGTTTCAAACCAACATCATCAACAAAATCACCATTCAAACCCCTCCCCCTTCTTCCTCCCCTCTGACAAAACTTGGCAGGGGCCCTGCCAGGGGCAGGCACACATTTGATCACTTTCAGTTCTTCGAAGGTGAAAGAGGCACAGAAGCTGTGACTTGCTGGGCGAGGGCTGTCTTGCAGACCTGAAGGCCATCTTGCTTGGCCTGGTGCTCCAGAGCCAGGTCTAAGGGGTGTGTGGGTGGCCCCAAAGCCACAGCTTCCCTGTCACTTGGTGGTATGTTTATTCTCAACCACTGGGTCTGGGGCACCAGAAGATGGCGAGAACATCCTCAAGGTGGCCAGGTCAGGCCCAGCGAGCACTGGCTCAGATGGACAGTGGTCACTGAGAAGGTAATGGTAACAGCATCTGTGTCTTTGGAGGCTGGCAGTGCAGCCTGGCCTGGCCCAGGAGGTGCAGGCTGCTTCTCAGAATGGCCCAGGCCTCCATCCCATGGTCTTCTGCAGTCTGTCCAGGCAGCGGACCAGCAGGACATGGCCACAGCTGTGCCAGTTCCAGGGCCTGTTCTTATGGGTGCCACTCAAGCTGGAGAAGCCACGGGGCTATGGGAGTAGGGCCTGTGCGGCCTCCTAGTGTAGGCACCACAGGAAGGACAGGAAACAAAGGCATCTCATGGAGGTGGAGGCTGTGGGAGACCACGCTGGCATCGCTGCCCTTAGCCCCAGGAGGGGTGCACAGAAGCATGCTAGGCCCAAGCTGCATTTTGCAGCATTTTGGTCAAAGAGTGGAGATGGTAGGAGAGGGAGTGTTGGGGCATTGGGTATTGGTTCTGGGGGGGCCCATGACCTGAAGGCTCTGTGCCCGGGCTCCTGCCCCTGGCCATGGAGCTGCACTCTGGCCACAGGCCCACCATAAGTGACCCTCTGGACCAAGTGCTTCCTGTCTTCTGAGGCTGGTTGTTTTGAAACAATCAATGGTAGCACAAAAGATCAGGATGTGAGCTACTGTCAGTGAGGGACAGGAAGCCATCAACAGTGACACCTCAATGTCCTCACGTGACTTGGTCTTGTCTATGTGGCCTTTGCAAGGGGCTGACGCACAGCTTCCAGTCTCTTGAGGGAGAGGATGTTTAAATTCCATGGAGACCAAGCTGTTGAACTTGGCTGCTCTGCTACTCTCCTGCTTCCTCCTCCTCCTCCTCCTCCACAGCTCATGTAGACCTTCCACTGCATTGGCATCCACATCACTGGCCACTGGCAACTCTGTCCTTCAAGTACTTGAGCAAAACCTTGCACCTTTCCCACTGCTTACGATACTGAAGTTCCATTTTGAAAATCAGTACTGATAGATGACCATGATAAAGTCAGCCCATTTCTTCCCAGACTCTGGAGTTTACTTTTTAATTAATTGTGTTCTTTCTGCTAAGTTATTAACCTCTTGGCCTAAAGCTTAGTTTTCTCTGTAAAGGGCTGGGGGTTTGGCTCAGTGGTTTCGCTGCCTGCTGCGCAAGT